TTTGTACTCTCTGATTTCTCAAACCACTGTCGTGCACACCGTATAACCACCAGACCGCTTAAATAATAGTATTTATCTTATCTTATTAAAATAATTATTATCAATTTTTGATTTCAGTAAAACTTTATTCGAACGTTTACACAGTCATTGGGTTTTTATAATTCAAGTATCGTGTTTGAAACATTTACAATCATTAATTTCTGGGACCTAAAGTTATATTATGTATAGACGATATTGATTCAAATTAACAAGAAATTCCGATTAACATTATTTAATATTTACTGTTTGTCCACCGAATCTTTGTAAATACTTGTAAATATTGATATTTAGAACGACACATACATTTCGTGGTTTAAGGTAACATATATTGTTGTAAAATACTTGGCCAAAAATATTAATTAAACTTTATATTTTATATTTTAAATAAAGAATTATAATATTATATGTACCTACCTTAAATGTTTGTAAAAGAAAATATTTCGTGTTATGAATCATTTTATTTTTTCGTCATCTTAATTAATTTAATCAGGCACTGTGTAAATTTTAAAATAAGGAAAAAATAATTAAAAACAAAATTATCACACTTTTTTTTACGTCATTCTTAAAAATGATTATGTAGGTACTAGGATTAATTAATTTAACTTAATGAGAGTTGAATATTTGTTTTTATTGTTTCAATATCATATTTGCATAATATAAATAGATTTGTTCTGATATAGAGCTTAATGTTAAATTTTTAACATTTCCATTTGACGAATAATGATATTATTATAGTTTAATTACTTTTTTGAAATTAGTAAGAAAAATATATGATAGGTATGTATATAATTAAACGGTTCTTAAAACGGATTTTATAAACAAAAATGAGAATAAAATAATATTAATTTAAATGAAATTCAAAACTAAACGAAAATAATGTGATGAATTATCTGGATGAGAAATATAGTTAACAGACGGCAGGTAGGTTTTTCCAGAGGCATTAGGCAAGTATGTTCTCATACCGTGGCCTACATTTACGTTAAGTTACCTTCAAATTAAGTAGAATCTTGCATTTGCTAGTGGAAATAAGTACCTACTGCACCGAAAACGTAACTACTATGTACTACTATGTTACTATGTTGTTTTATATTTCAGAAAAATTAAACAGAGAACACTATGCTGGACAACCACTTAGCTAATCGACTCGTGGTAAACACTACAAAAGTTCCTAATTTTCTGAACCGACTATACCGAAAAACTGTTAAATTAATTACTCAAGACATTTTCATTTATCTTATATTTTATTAAATTCTGTGTGTTCATCTACATATTATAGTTTGTAAATAATAATAAAAATATAAATAATAATATGCTACCACGGTTCACAAAGAAACAAAACAAATGTTAACATCATTATAACAATAATTTTTAATTTAATTTAATTAAATAGAAAATAATAACAGATTCTGAGCAGACTCGTATTTGATTACAATGTAAGAAAATTATCTCAGATCCGTAACTTTTAGAGAGGTTTTCGGCAGAAATTAGATACATTTGTCATTTTGTACTTTGAGGGGTTAAAACTGTACATTTTCCTATATTATATTAGGTATAAGATATCAGGGAATAAGAAACACAAAATTCAAAGAAAATGTTTATTTACTCAAAACAGGTACCTATTCAACAAAATCAATTTCACGAACTAATATTCGTAGATTTAAAATATTCAAATATTATATTTGTATAAGCATATTTTTCCAGACTTAGTAGTAATATTTTAGTATTCATTTGACTTATGTATGATACATTTTATTTAGCGAGTAAAAAACTTGAAAAAGTATGACACAAGATGCCTCGCAAATATTTCTTACAGAAATAAAAAAATAAAAAAACATCAATCACAGTTTTTATAATTAGTATTAGAAATGAAATATTGACAACATTTAACATATCCATTACAATACCCTATTCAATTATGTTTGGGTATACTCGACATTTACAATAGAGCAGAGAGACATCCCTTATTTTTTCCAAATTTATTTCTTCAAAATTGTAACTAAGAGTTGAAACATAGTAAATTATAGGCATCTGCGTTAAGTTATGATCATGTTATTTATTTTTTCAACAATTAAAACTTATTGTTAAAAAATATATTACATTTTGTAGGTAGGTATGTAACATGAAACATTCACATATAAGAAATTCATAATTTGTCTATATTACTAAATAGTAAATACCTATTGATAATATTTGTTCACACTTGTGTTGTTAAGCCCATACAAACTTATTTTGATTTTTAAATGGTCAGCTAAATATTTAATTCCATGGTAAAGAAAAATATTTTTAAAAACTGAAATATTTACTACATTATTATTTTACTAATAATACCAATATTTATTCATTTACTAGGAATAGAATTACATCGTTGAATAATGTATATTGAAGACCTTCTATTAATATGCATAACTCAACTTGACAAACTGTAATAATGTAAATCACACAGTATTCTTCTATTCGACTCAGATAACGGATACGATAAAATAGTGAAAAAAAAACTTACTTTCAATGATATAAGGTACCTCTACCTAGGTGATTATTATCAAAAAGTATTTTTGATGTTTGCTGTCTGTACATTGTGCTATTTCCGATGACATGTGATCGAGTAATCGTTATTCTACGGTTGCCACTAGTAATTCGCATGGTTGAATATTATTATCATGGTGCAAGAGATATATATTATTATTTTGTATGTATTTTTTTTGTATCTTCTGATGGACCCCTAACTAAATGAGGTACACATTATTTTAATACGTCAAAAGTTAAAGTTACGTTATGAAATTTTGCGCTTCTTGGAAAACTAATTCTGTCTAGAATGCCTCGTAAACTTTGTAACTCTAATATAAATTTAACGGTCTAGAGAAATCGTTCCCTTTACTCCCTCAGAACGTCGCTTCAGTCGCAACACAAAATAAATAGAGATTTTTTTTATGACAACTCGAGTCGTAGTTAAATGAGTTAACGTATTTCAGAAACCCTCTTACATTGAAACCAAAATATGCAAATGCATCGAAGCCATATTCGAGTAAGGGTCTAATTAAGATTCTAAAGTTCCTACCCAGTTTAAATATCAGGATGATATGAACATTGAACCATATATTTGTGTAGATCGTGATATTGGTGAAGTCCAACAGCAAAATATCAGGATAAAAATAATATAATAATAAAACAATAAAATATTATATTATTAGTTATTAGAAACGCTGTCAACAGTTACCAAAATGCTTGGATCTAAATCTATGACTATTTTATATTATAATAGACAGGTTTACTTGAATGACAAAACCGCGATATATTATTTACGATAACGTCGATAACAGTATTTTTTTTGAAACTCAACGAATTTAATATTGCTGCCCTGTAGCTGTAGTCCTAAACATGACTATTATTTTTAATTTATTAATTACATTACGACGTTTTACTGAGAAACCTGTCTAAGTGGAATCGCAATAATGGGCCAACAATAAAATTCTTTTGAGGTAGGTTTCCGGTTTACTGAACAAAAAGGAAAATTCTGTCTTATTAAATGTATTATTCTCAGGTAATTAAATTGTAATATCAATTCCATTGGTTGAAAAAAAGTAATAACTTATAAGAATTTTCATGAAAAAAATATTATACCTAGGTACGCGTTAGGTAACATTTATATCAAAATTAATTTATCCTTGGAAGTAAACGGAATATTTATGTCAATATACGCCCTTTAAAGACATGGTTACAATTTATACGACTGCAGTTTATAAACAAAAAAAGGTCTCGATTTAATCATATATTATCTAAAAAACTATTTTTTGACATTTTGCAATAAATCAGTACATTGGTCGATATTAAAATATAAATTGATTCCCACCATTTTTGTAGTATGATTTTTTTCACGACCACTGCACATACAGCTCATACAATCGGACCAACAATAAATAGCACGTAAATAATAATTTGCGTTAACACCGTATTCATGTTATCGAAGTGTTCCGCTCGTGACAAGTTGAATTAAATATATCGCAACTGAAATAAAACATATACACACACCCACACACGCATATATTCCATCCTATTGCGGACTATTGCCTGTTTAGAAAATTAGATTGGGAACCATTATAATAGATTATAGCATTCAGTTTAAAGTGTCATTTTCCCTTTTATTCGTCTCCTGCCAATTATTGTAGGATATTATACCTGAATTTAATTGCCTGTATTTATTAAAAGGTCATCGGACGTTGAAATGGGCGTAACCCGTATGAGCCCATGGTCATTCCAATTTTGACGGAAACGGGTAATTCCCTGATCATGGGTGACCACTTTTTTTTCACTCTAAAATTACCATAGGTCATTCAAGCTCCCTTTTAAGCACATTTGAGCACGGGTACCTTTCTTACCTTGGAATTACCTTAGGTTGAGCTTGATTTGTTTACCCCTATTTGATGGTGGAGTTCTAATTAGTCGATATTTGTATCCAACATCAATTGAACACGTATTTCCTGTTATCAATTATTGGGACTGTTTGAAAAAAATATTTTGTATAAATTTACCATCTTGCGGTTTATCTGCTTTCTCTTCTCTTATTATTAGTCACCGTTTGGGCCAAATATAGTTTGGGTTCGTGTAAATGCACCATTATTATATAGGTACATTCGTAAAAAATGCATAAGAGGCATTCGATATTTAGGTATGGTTTTAGTAACCACAGAAAACGGCATCTCCTGCCTATAACACAACGTCATGGTCCACGATCGAAATAGAAATCATTGTCACTTTGAGCCATAATCGTGTGATACCCCAATTGTATTTCCTAAATCCCATCAATCCCAGAAGTAGGTCGTCCGTCCGTCATCGTATCCTTAGCGTGCGTACATCGCCCCAAAAAGCCAAAAAGTCCGTCATCACGTGACCAACAGCAGTGAGTTGTACACGACTATTATAATAATATAATAATATAATTTATTATGTTTGGCGCGTGAACGCAGGAACCGGTAACCGGGGTGTGAACGCTTTGCGCGACTTGGACACGGACGGCAAGTACGCGGCACCACTGGCCCAGGTGCAGGCCACGCTGAGCGGCGAGAGCGAGACGATGAAAGCGCTGCTGCGGCCCGCCGAGCCGCTGGCCGTGTTGTGCCACGGCGACTTTTGCCGCAACAACCTGCTGTACCTGTACGACGAGGCCACCGGGCGGCCCGTGGACGTGGCCGTGATCGACCCGGCGCAGGCGCGGTACGCGTCCCCGGCCATCGACCTGTCGTTCTTCCTGTACATGAACACGTCGGACGCCGATCGGGTCGCGAACTGGGACGTGTACGTGGCCGCCTACCTGGACGGCGTCGCAGACGTGACGCCCGCCGGCCGGGCCGTGCCGCTGACCGCCGCCGACGTGCACGCCGAGATGCGCGCGCACGGCCTGTACGGTTACGCGCACTGTTCGTTCTTCCTGCCGGCCATGGTGAACGCCGTACCGCCCGACGTGGAGCGGCTGACCAAGAGCACATCGGAAGAGCGCATCCAGCTCATCAACGAGTCGGGAGGACAGGAGGCGGACAGGCTGCTCGCGTCCATCTTGCGACACATGGCCGACCGCGGGTACGTCTGACGACCACCCAACGGCCGACGACGACCAGACATCGACCACTGCGACCAATGCGACTGTGAGAGAGCAGCTACTTCACCTTTTTTTGTGAAAACCGTTTAGGGTGCGAAAAAGATTCACTCGGACTACGGTCACAGCCGACAAACTTTAATTTATACGAAAGTATAGTTAAGTATACTAAGTCGTAGTTTTTTTTTATCACATAAAACGAACCACTCACTTTTTACATTGTTGCACTCCATCTAGTATATGGTCTCAATCGTCCCATGGCCCATACGCATGGGATGCACTGCCAGCATAACAATTCACAATTGGTTAGCAGGCCACACCTGCTTACTACTTTTGCTCAAAAATAATTTTTTGTATTCTGTTTTTGTTTTTTTTTTTTTGCTTTTAATTTCCACGTCCTATACGGTTATGCAACATTGGTGTATTTTGTATCAGATTAAATCGCCCACCCAACTTAATGCTGTATCGCGTCAAATCAATAAATAAGTAAATACATATATTACAATGATAACCCTATTTGTGTAAACTATTTAAAAAAAATTCACTTTCTAATGTATCAGTAAAGCATATCATTGCCTTCTTCCTAATCGTGTCTAAGTTTTGATATTTCATGTCATAGGGTGTTACCACTGGGTATCTTCCCTAATCTAACTACTCATATCATATTTTACCTTTCATATATCAAACCTACTTATTGTACAAAAAGCATGTATAGATTGTAGATTTCTTCAAATAAATAAAAAAAAAAAAAAAAAAAGTTTTGATATAAAATCTCCGTTATTAAATTCCTTAAAAAACTTTATGTAAGATCATTAATTCAAAAAAAAAATTATAGGTACCTATGATAAATTGTTTAAATATCCATAATGTGTAATGTTCTTCAAACTTAAATAACTGATTTCATATTTGAATGATATGAGTATAATAAAAACACCGTGACACAGAAAATATTGTATTTCGTATCTTGTGTGTATGTATATGACAATAATAAATACTACTGTAGCTTGAATGCCGAGTGTTTCTTTTTCACGCGAAATGGTTCACACAAACAATATTATTTAAGGGCGAGTGACTGTCTATACTTACGTCAACGGGTGTCCACTACACCGTTTGGTATAATAATATTTAACATGCAGATAACAAAACGTCGGTATATCTGGTAACCCGTCGACAGAGTTATACAATATTATGATATACAAGTGGAATATTTTTATATTTAACTCTACAAGACACGACTTCACGATATAGTGTAAGCCCGGTCGATACTATCACACCTCTATAATATAATTGATATGGATGCTTTGAACAGTAAATTTTAATGTATTATTATTATAAAAGCGTACGTAACACTTATATAAGTATTTGCCGTTTGGTGCAATTTCATGACGTCTGTTATATTATTATTATATACGACGGTGCAGTTTTCTGTTATTGTTGTCTTTTGTAAGTTTGTGTTCACAGTCTGTTTTTTTTTTTTACTGCAGAAATGTATCCGGTCAAACGGAAAAACAATCCATGATCTACTATCACCCTCCACCTTCACGCCCCACCCTACGCCACAATAACTATTGAAACTTTTTGCCGTATTTATGGGATACAGCTGATGATGACAGTAATTATTAATATTTATTATTTTCATTATTATTATTATTATTTTTTTTACAACGGTTTATTGTTTTGTGTTTGATGTTGATGTCGTCGTCATTAAATTAACATCACATTATATTAATGTGTTATTTAGAAGACGCTTCCGTGTTATTATTTTTTTACCGTTTTTCCTTATTCAGGACTCCCGGCAAGTAACTATATAAGGCCCGGATGTGTCTGTCCCACTTTAAACTTACCCTGGCGACCCAATTTTAACTATAAAATGTACATATTTTGAATTTTTAAATATTGTTGTTAATATGGCAACATTAAATAGTTATTATTATGTGAAATTATGAGTAATAAACTACTTAATCATAAATTCACAACAATATTAAAAATGTAAGTTTTGTGACGTCAATGAACGTCCAAATAACGTGTTATTATAGTACATTATATTATTATTATTAAATTGTTCATGCATAGTTCACAGAGTTTCATTGTGTTTATTGAACTCATTGAAGTATATACATAATATTTCTGTAAATTGGTTTGATTGGGTCATGCAGTAACCTATGTTGTAGAGTGTTTGCTATTATTGTTTATAAAATTAATTACTGTCTCACAGATTAAAGTCAACCAATAATTATTCATGCTTTTTTTAAAAAAAAAAAAATACTTATCTACAGTAGGTACATGGGACTACATGCCTACTTCGTAGGTTATAATATCTATAATCATTGCATTGTGTATTTTTGTAATTAATAATGTGGTAAAAGTTTCAATGTTTAATTGATGCATTATATGAGTAAATAGTTAGTTTATTTTTTAAATTATTATTAATAATATGGCTTGTAACAGTGGTTCCAAACTTTTTATTCAAGTCTCTATAAAAATAGAAAATTGTTTATCACACCTCACATGAACAATATTAAATAGAATAAGTTAAAATAATTTAATATTAATATACTTAATAATTTTTATCAAACAGTAAATTTTTTTAATTTACATATTTATCTTGCAAAACAATATTGAGGCAAACAATGTGCTTGTGTTTTCTTGTGCGTGTGTATCGATGTCTCAAAATTAGAAAGCAACTGATATACTGCTACACACATTTTTCCAGCTCTGAATTTGTTTCAATAGACAAGATTAATATATAGTCTGTTCAAAATGAGATCGGTACACTGCGGCGACCAGTTTTCGTCAGACATATGGCGAGATGCCGTCCCCGCTACGGTTACGCGTCAGGGCTGCCACGGAACAAAGCCACGCCCATACGCACTATTTGGCCGCCCGATCTCATTTTGAACAGGCTATAGTTTCAATATTTTGTAATTCCTTGTAAATATGGCTACTGCTAAGTGCTAAAAACCTTGCTTCACACAAACGCAAAGTCATAAATGGCATTAACAGAAGCTATAAGCTTCTTCAGGATACTTATATTTTACGAATACATAAAATCGTATAGGTTATAAAAAATATAAATAAGTAAATATATTTTGTAGTAGGTCGTAGAATTTTAGCTTCGTACAAATCAGTGAACAAGAAATGAAATGGGCTGGCCAAAAAACATTGGACCATCGAATGAATATTTTCTGGCTACGTGCCTGTAGTGTGTGGGTATTGTATTTAATAATAATAATTTGTTCAAACGATTTTATGTGCTACTATATAATAATACAAAAATTATAATATATTGTACGTAATGGTTGTATGATGACAACAGATTTATGAAACAAAAGAAATAATCTTAAAACAGCATGTGCAATCCAACACCAACAGTTGTGTAAAGAGTTATCCTCATGTTTTAGATTAAAAAAGTTCAACGATATAGGATATTAATTATCTATATCATAATATTCATAAAAATATAATCGCAATTACGACAGCAATTTAACTAAAATTGCATAGTATACGAATATAGTAGGTGGTTAAAAAAATTTAAATGTGATTTTCAATTTTAATTGACACATGTAGATTATCATATGCGGGGTGATTCCCCAAGCATGGCCATCCCCCGATTATATTTTTTAAAAGTGCTTTTTTTTAATTCTGAGTTTTTTACATAAAATATGAAACATGCCTACATAATATTTAATCGAGTACTTATTAGATTTATTAGAACAATTTTAATATTTATTTAGTACTATGTACCTATTATATAAAATATTAGTACCTACATTAATTTTAATTAATATTATTTTTAAATCATCATAGTTCACATATCTTTTAAACCTATTATGATTATTACTTAGTATATAAAGTTTAATAACTAAATTTAGGCACTACTCATTTGAATTTCGTAGTTATGAAAGCATTAGTAATATTTTTAAAGTTATCATCGGCTTAACATAGTATAGTAATAATAAGGATGATGGTTCTCATTTGAAAAGAAATTTGTAAAACCGCAGGGCTCTCTGAAAGATTTTATAACTTCAACGAGTTTCTTTTTATTATTAACCAACCAAAGCACCAACGTGCGATGTTCCCATGACAGCCTGGCTTGTTTTTAATTTCAATAATGTACCTAAATGTAAATTCAAATAACATACAATTTTTGAGTATCAATGTTACAACATTGGATGAATTAATTCTAGCACACATAATTTTATTCCTTTGTAAAGTCAGGTTATTATGCTCTCATCCCGGCATTAAATCCTATTAGCAATTTTATTAATTGATTCTCTAAGTATATTCCAAATGAAACGAAATAATACCAATAATAGAATTAATGAAAGCATACTGTATCGAAACCGCATAGGTACTTAGTGTTGTATCATAATATAATAAATCTAGTTCTAGTATATACCCATTCAAGTATAATCAATAATTGTATAATATCTACTGATTTGTTTGTTTGAAATTAATATTTTACCGGATCGACTTATATCGTGAAGTTATAAATGATACATTAAATTACTAAAGTAAAATTATGACGATGTATTAAACTATATAATACTTAACTAAAATATGTGTTTAATGAATTATTTTAAGTGGGCGAAAAGTGTACTCATTACGTCTTATATGTGATGTATATTATTATTTAATTAGATAGTTAAAATTATTATACATCCAAACTTCTTTCCACACTTACAAATTTATCTGCAATGCACATCATTTTAAATAATTGCAGTCTCGTCGGATTCATTACAACTTATAAGTAAGTATTTTAAATCTAATATAAATGCCTACCGTGTTTTGAAACGGTCCGGTAAATGTATTAGTATTTCATAAACGTACCGGGCGGTTTCGCACTGTTCTAAAAATACAAAATGTGAACGGTTTCCATCCCAGCAAACATAATATTACGGACTTAGTTTTCCATCTACTTAGCATGCGGGACGACGGAGAAAATAGTGCCTGGCACAGTCGTGCACACACCGATATTAGCCATCTTTAGCCTC